CTCTTTAGAATATTTATTATTGCTCGTTACTAAGTAACCACCGCCTCATTTTTACCGCCATCATGTCTCACGTTCATGCAGTCATCTGCTAACAGCGACCTGCGCTCTCCTGCCATCCTGCCCGTACGACCCCCAAACCTGCCAGCCTCCCGCCTCACCTCTGTGCACCCGCACTGGTTCACACAGCATTTATGCTCAAAACAATATTTGCAGCTGAGTTCTTGTAAATTACAGTGACACAAAATTAGAGTAATTAAACGAGTACGTAGAGATCAGTAAAGAGTGCACAGTTGCATGTTTACAGCATATTCAGATACATCCTGTGAAAACAAGAATAACAAAAACAGCAACAATGAAGCCAATCGAATAAAGGGGAAATCATCTGAAGCCCGCTCAGCTGGGATCAGTGCACATCTCTCTGTGATCTGTAGCAGCTTCGCGACTCTGCAGGCTTCTCCTGTGTAAAGATCTGAGACGTGGATCAGGCTGGAAGAGCAAGAAAATAAAGCAGAAAAACACGAACCACTGAGAGGTGAAGTCCACAAACTCAGGGGAGAACTGGTCGGCGGGAAGCTGGGGCGAAGGCTCTTCCACCACCTGCTTCAGCTGCTGAAAAGGTGTCCCCCACGAGTCGTACGGGAAGCGCAGGATGGCGAGCTCGATCTGAGCCAAACGAGACAAAAAAAAGAGGTCAAGGAGCGTTTTTGGTGCTTTAGTGAGCACAAACACACAACCTGACACAAACGTATCTGCACAGCTGCATTCATGTGATTTTTCACCCAAATTCGTCCCACGTCGCAGCGTTATTTAACGACTGACCCCAAAACAAGCACACTCTAAAGATCCAGCAAAGCGGCACACGCGTGGCTTCCCAAACATCCGTTACCGTTTTTAACATTACTGTCGTTTTTTCCTCTCACTGCTTCTGCAGCATTAGTTTCACACTAAAACCTCCTCAGCTGCTTCACCTCCTTCAGTTCAGCTTTCGAGGAACAACAGGTGCTCCAACAATCAGCGCCCAGCGGGTTTTATCCCACACACTGATCGCTCAATCTGTCTGGACCACTCGTTCTTCATTTTACAATTATTACAAAAACCTTCCACTACTCTGAAATCACAAGTTTCCTCTTTTATTTAAAACCCATTTAGTGTCCTTTTATTCAGACTGTGCTGGAACATTCGCTGCTCGAACAGCCGATCAAACAGGCAGACGAGCGCGAGTCAACTGCTGAATCCTCGATGCCAACATCCTCCTCGAGCCTGAGCTGCAAAGCTATGAATATTTCACCAGTTTTTCATTTTTAACCAATAATCGTGTTTGCTCTCGAGATTCTTGTTTTTTTGCAGCGATGCAGAAAAGGTGAACAAACGTATGCACGAGCGCGAGGCGGCTTTACCATCGTGATTCCTAAACTCCAGATGTCCGACTTGACGTTGTAGCCTTTCTGGTTGGTCTCAGGATTGATCCTCTCCGGCTGTGGACAGACAGAAGGTCACATGATGATGTCAATAACTGCAGCTGTCGTCGAGGATAACCAGCCCCGCTGCCCCGTAACCCCAAAGCTCTTGTGCACACACAGACCGAGCAACTTACCTGGCTCTAAATACCCTCAGCCAACCAGCGGCCTGTCGAGTGGTTAAAGAGTAACTGGCTCATTAAATGTGTGGATGCTAATGAGGGACTCGCTGATCTAAAGACAGTTTTAATGCACAAAATCTACGTTTGCAGCCAAAAGCGACAGGAAGTATGTTCTGGTCTACGTTTTCCCTCCAAGGTAAAAATACTTCCCTTTGTTGTCCGTCCAAAGCGGGATACCTGCTCACGTATCCAATCCCAGGATGTATCATCATACTTAAACATTAAAGTCGTAACATTCGTCAACATTCGGGTGCTGCTGCATTTTTATGAGCGCAAATCCTCAAAATTCAAAGAAACCTCTGAAGACACCAACACTGCAGCAATAAC